GGGGGGGGGGGCGGTCCTTTCGGCTCCCCATCTCTTCCGTCCCTGCTCTGGCATTACATCAACACCTTTCTCCGTACACCGCACTCGTCCCTGGGTCTCTGCCGAAAAAGGAAGGGAACATTTCAAGATGGAAAAAAAAAACAATGCCTGCGTGCGTTGTGCTAAGCTAGTACACTTGATACCCACTGCCATTCGCCATCATCAATACTCCGAGGTAGCTCGTGACCGGAAGAGATGTAATGATATTAACAGTAACAATAATAATATCATTCAAGAAAGGGAGGGAGAGAGAGAGAGAGATGGGAACAGACCCCCCATGTCCCGAATCATTCTCGTCACATCCTACTGTGCCGGGTCCGGACCACGACGATCCGCTGTCCCGCTTATCCGGGTGGATGGGGGAAGGAGGGGAGGGGGGAGGGAGGAGGGAGGAGGGAGGAGGAGGGGAAGACGGGTCAGGGGGGAGCCTTACACATCATCATATCATCGTATCGATTAGAGGGAGGACTCGGTTATTGTATGACGACGTGCATACGGGTCTCTGGACCCCTACAGCTCCATTCTTTCGCAGCGTCCATATCTTCTTGTTGCGTCCCCTCTTCATCAAGAAGTGCTCCCTTTTTTTCTTCTTCTTTTTTTTCTTCTTCTTCTTTTTCCCCTCTTCCTTTCCTCCGAACCGACCCCGTCTTTGTGTGTGGCTCAAGACTGGCTCGAGCGAGGCTGGGAGCCTACAGACTGTCCTGTGGCTGAACACGGACAGCAAGAACCATGGACTCCTCCCACTGCAGGGCCCTGACGAATGCCATCACCCACGTTTTCATCTCTCCTCTTTTCTCTTCTTTTTCCTTTTCTTTCTTTTGCATGTCTTGCAAGTTATAAAGTTAATGTCGTGAGCCGCTCCTGCACCTGCATCCAGAGCATCTTCCTACATCGCAATCATCGTGCATCGAGAATTACCAAGACTGTCGTGTCGTGCCTCCCATGCCGCACACAACAGTTCTGGTGGTGTCGGGGTTTTATCTTAAATCATCGCTCTACGGAGAGCTACAGATTATTATCATTACCCGGGAACACCTCCCTCTCTAACATGACTCAGCATGATGACAAAGGCCCCCGGAAAGGGAAATCATGGAATCCGTTCATGTCGAGAGAGAGAGAAAAACCCCCCTCATGGGCTGATACGGAGTATGATATGTCGAGACGTTACATATTACATGCTGATGAAATGAAAAAGAAAAAGAAGAAGAAGAAGAAAAAGAAAGAAAAAATTTGAAACTCTGACAATGCATCTTCAATGTACACAGATGTGCCCTACTCTGTGCCTCGCTAGTATCAATAAACTTGGTTAATAAGCCTAGGTCCTCCTTCATTGGACCACATGTTCCCAGTCACTCCCCCCGGGTGCTACCCGTCGTACCTCGGCATGTGAGAAGTGGCCGAAGATTTTGGAGAGGTAGAGAGATAGCATCATTCATTCATTCAATCAACCATTCAATCATACCACCCCCATCTCCCCTTTTTTTTTTTCTTCTTGCTTTCTCATCTTCTTTTTTTCAACAACCATCCAACCTGACCTTAATTCCTACTTTTTTTTTTAACGATATACAGAATTACTTTCGAATAATTAATACGCATACTCACATCTAGCTACCAAATAAACAACCCCCCCCCCCCAAAAAAAGAAAAAAACAACGACGACGACGACAACGACGACAGATTCATCATGGTTGCCGACGCCGTCGTCTACCACCCATCGGTGGCCCACCTGCTCAGATTCCTCGCCACCACCTTGGGTCGCGACAAGCTGTACCGCACCATCCAGTACTTCTCCCGCTTCTACGCCTGGTACCTCCTGCGCACCAACGCCACCAAGGAGGCCGTGGAGCCCTGGTCCGCCGCCAAGAAGCAGTTCGGCCTCCTCCGCAAGTTCCTCCGCCTCGGCAAGAGCATCGAGCACCTCAGAGCCGCCGCCGTCGCCGCCGACGGCAAGGCCTCGTCGTCCGGCCTCCTGGCCGACCCCGTCCTCCGCTACACCTCGGTCGGCCGCCAGCTCGGCTACGCCGGCTACCTCACCTTGGACGCCACCACCGTCCTCGACGCCGCCGGCATCCGCCGGTGGCCCCGCGCCCCGCTCATGCAGCAGGAGGCCTACCGCTTCTGGGCCATGGGCATCTCCTGCAGCATCCTCGCCCAGCTCTACACCCTCTACAGGCTCAGGCAGAGGGAGGCCGCCGTCGACCTCAAGGATGGAGAGGGTGTTGTCGAGAGCAAGCGCATCGCCAAGTATGTTACGCAAATATACACACAGACTATACATTCTCTCCAACTAGCCCCCTTCCTTCTTCCTACTCCTACCCTCCCCCTCCCTCACCTGACCTTTTTTCTTGTTCTTCAACTTTCTATTCTCTCTTTTTTTGGAAGGGGGGGGGGGGCGGGGGAAAAGGAGGGAATCATTCGCTAACCTTGGAAAAATAAAAAACAACTCAGGGAACGCTCCGCCAGCCAGACTCAGCTCCTCTGCGACTTCTGCGACATCCTCGTCCCCTCCTCTGCCCTCGGATGGCTCTCCCTCGACGACGGTATCGTCGGTCTCACCGGTACTCTCTCCAGCTTGATCGGTGTTCGCAGCCAGTGGGGAAAGACTGCGTAGACTAACCAGCCTTTCTCTACACTCTCTGCACCATCAACGGAGGAGGAAAATACAGAACCCACTGCGATTGGGACGAGGGAAGAGGATCGGATAGGCAATGGCAGGAATTCAGACACAAGGAAGTGTGACGCGCACACTTTTTTTTTTTAAAAAAAAAAGATGCTCGCCAGGCATGGAAGGATTGAGGGAAGTCGTTCGGGACAACGGCCGTAATGTATATACTTGTTGTGCCACCTGCACATACCCTGCACATATATATGCTGGCTTCACCCCGATAAAGAGAGATATACTCGGGCTATGTATGATACGGTAAAAAGGTACACGATGTAATACAGAGTAAACAGTTCGTCGTGAGCCACTCTGCTGTTTCTTCATACCTTACGCACTTCATCTTCGTGATACTTCCATGACACCTTCTCAACAATAATCGTCGCACGTCTATCCCCTCAGCAGCATTGTTAGCAGCTAATCCGTCTTCGATATACAATTGAACGCCGTAATGTTCGTATCATTTAAACTGAAAGTGTCCAGCTCTGTACTAAAAGGCAATCTAGAAGATACAGAGTAACATCAAAACCCAAAGTGACATAACTGGCAAAGCAAAGAAACCAGAACCATAACAGATGAGTAAAAAGAGTCCCCAAGTAATCGTAAAGCTCACGCACTAGAGCTATCCTTCTCACCCAGCTTTCCCCAACCCAAGTGACACTACTAAGCAGTAATATTCGCCCCAACACCGAATACCAACCTCCCCTTGCCATCGTCATTATCAAAGGGGGGGACCAGCAGCGGCGTCCCGTTCGCGTACCAGCTTCCCCTTCTTTTTAATAGTTCCGGTGCAGTTTTCCCTCTCTGAAGATACCTGATAAATGAAGCCTTTCCCCTCATGCTCCTCTCATCGCATATCTACTCTCTTGATGTGTTGCGTGCGCTAGTCGTTTGCGAGGTATATGTTGATATCTGTTTGGCCCTGGTTAAGGACAATTCCGCCAAGGAGCGCCGAAACGGAAAGCATGCGTGCGCTCAGAGGAAAACAAGGTGTAATCAGAGAGAGAGAGAAGGGCCCTGTAGACCGCTGCGCACAAAGCAAAGCTCGGAACGTAAGAAATGGATTTACCAGTAGCGACCACCGCGCTCGTATTCGCGGGGAGGGTATCCATCCCTCGGAGGATAGCCCGGGTCTCTGGGCGGGCCAAAGTCCCTAGGAGGTCTGTCATACGGCCGCCCGTTGCCATAGGCGTCCGGCGGGGGCGGGTAGTCCCTGTGATAAGGGTCGTCATAGCGGCCCCTGGGAGGAGGGGGCGGGGGATAATCGTCCATCGGCCGCCGGGGAGGGGACCTGTATCCGCGAGCACGGTCGTCGTAATAATCACGGCGAGGACTACGGTCACGATATCCGTACGGTATGTCGCGACGAGGGCTGTAACCACGCGGAGGAGGGCCACGGCGGTCGTCCATGGGCGGACCCATGTACCCGCGTCGACCCCCGAATCCTATCGGCGAGCGAGACCTCCCGCGAGGAGGGGGGAAGTCGGGCTGCGTCTGTGTCCACCATGTCAGCTGTCCTGTGCCGATATCTAGAAGGTCTGGCCTTATCCTTACGTCCTCAATGCATTGGACTCGGCTGCCCTTGAACTCGCGACCGTCCAACTTCTCCACAGCGGTCCTTAGATCGACAGCCGACTCAAACTCCACAAAGCTACATGGAGTCGTCAGTATAAGACCTCCCAAGCATATCACAGAGGATACATCACTTACCCTCTTCCACTAGAGTCGCGAGGTGTCTCGGAGTAGACCACGTCGAGACTGGACTGACGAGCAAAGTCCTTAAGGTCCTGTATCCCAATAAATCCACGTAAGTCGATGTCCAGGAAGGGAGATATTGTCCGCCAGAGTGTAAAAGTCCCATCAACCCGGCAGCCGAGCCAGCACCCAGCACCCATCTAGCCAGGGAAGTTGGGTTGTCCATGGAAGCTCGGGGAGCGCAATGGTGATGATGGAAGGGAGATTGGCCGGATATAGGTATGGCGGCCAACACCACGCATGCAGTGCTGAGCGCTGGTCTTATACGGGCCTAGAAGACATGGCATTCTGCAGGTAATTTCGCATCGTCTAGGCCGCCATCCGTACATTCCAGAATCCACATTGACGCAAGGTTACCGGAGGGCCAGGGAGCGACGAGGAGAGCCAATCCCCAGGGGGAGACGGGACGAGAGGGGGGGTCCACGGAGCCGGGCGACAAGGAATGGAGAGAGAAGACAGACCTGCCAACTGGTGTCCGGGGGGAGACCGCTGATTTGCATGCGGTGAGGAGTGCGTCGGGGCCGGGGAGGGGCGCGTTCGTGGCCGCCCAAGCCAGGCTCTCGCGGACGGTTGCCGCGGGCAAACTGGACCGTTAGACGTTCTCCCATGAAGTCGGATCCATCTTTTGTGTTTAAAATGAGCAGGTTAGTCGGAGAGGCGAAGCTTCAGGTTGGGCGTAGGTCACGTACGGAAGGCTGTATAGTTGAGCGGTTAGCACAGATATATATATATAATATAAGTACACACACACACATATATATATATATATATGCATGTATGTGTGTGTGAGAGAGAGAGGCGGGGCCGAATGGATGGAGGGTTTTTTTTTTTTTTTTTTGCCAAGACTTACCTGGGACGACATCTCGAGCATCCATAGGATCCTTGTACTCGATGAAGCCGTAGCCATTCATCATCTTCACCTCGATGATTTCTCCGGTACCATGGGTAGCAAAATGGGCCTCAACATCGGCCTTGGTAGCTGTTCCGGTGGCAAGCATAAAATAAATAGAAAACGCGCGTGTCAGTTGGGGAAAAGTTCGTGTGTGTAATAGGCGCGAGACAAAGGAGAGCGGATGGATGGACCTGTTCGAGGGAGGTTGCCTAGATAGAGGCGCGTAGCCGAGACCTCGGTCATCTTGTCGGCTGTCGTCGTGGGGGGAGGGGGGCGACTGCAGAAACGAAGGCGGCCAAACCGGGGAGGAAGGTAGACGTAATTCGTGTGTGTGTGAGAGTGAGTGTGTATGTGTGCCCTGGGATCACGTTGGCGGTCGGGAAGAAGAAACAGGCGGCGGGCGGAGGGGAGAGAAATCCAGACGAAAGGGGAAAAGGGAAAAGAAAAAGTCGTCGTATATCCTTGGGGAGGGCAGAGCAATGTCGAGGATGAAAGCCAGACGGAAGAGTAGGAAAGAGGAGGGAAAAGCCAGGTCCTTGGAAGAGAAGATGGGATGGGAGGGGTTGGTGGTTGGTTGGTTCGATTCGGTTGGGCGCGTGTAGAATTTGGCAGGTGGGCGGTCGGCGCACTGGATGAGGAGAGACAAGGAAGGAACAACCAGAAGCTGGCTCGTGCCTTCCGTAAAGTTTCCCAGCGCTGTACCCGCCCAGCTAAGCGAGCCTTCGGCGGTCAATGGTGGCAGAATACGGAGTAGCCTGGTTCGGAATAGGTCCACGGGAGCTCTGCAGCTTTCCCCAGACTTGGCTCCTCCATCTCCAAAAAGGCATCAAGAGACCTCTCTTTGCGCTAATCCTTTTATGAGACGCAGTTGAAGTTGTATTGATTTGTTATGATGTATTGGCAATACGATCATAACTTCACGGTGCTATGACCCGTATATAGTCACCGCTGTCGGCTATTTCGTCTTCCATCTTATTCTTCATTTTGCTCTCATTATTTCTAATAATCTACTCTGCTGCGACCTGTGGGGAAGAGATTGTTCGTTACGTGAAGCCGGGTGCCTGTGTCCGTCAGACTGACATCGGTGGCTCTGTTCAGGGCTCTCTTATTGAAGTGTGCTGTCCTCGAGGAATACTGCCTTCCGGGTGTAATATAATCAGTGCAGGCCTATTCATTAAATATTATAGACACAATCTCGTCCAGTATTGTAAAGACGAGATGAGCACTGCAAATGTCAGTCAACAATACGAGGGAAACAAAAAAAAAGAAGAAGAAAGGATTGGGGTCTTCTAGGACACACATACTTGAGTCGAGAGTTGTTGAGAGTGGCAAAGATGCGTCGACTAGCAGCCTGTGCGTTGACCCTCCCCACCACGCTTCCGGCCAGGTCGGGCACCAGCGTGGCAAGCATGAGGCTTGCTTCCTTTCTTGTCTTCTCCTTCTCGGCGGGCAGCCTGGGCTTCCGATCGCGGTTGAAACTGCCATCGACCCAGAGGTTCTCCTCCAGCATACCCAGATAGCGCAGGATGCTGTCCTCCTGGACCAGCACCCTGACATTGTCGCGGACTTTACGTTCAATGGTGCCGCCCAGTAGCTGCTGGAGCACGACGACGGCGGCGCGCCCCCGGAGCCAGTTGTTGCCCTTGTTGAGATCGAACACCTCGAGGAAGATGTCGCAGATGGGCTTGATGAATGGCTCCAGCTCCTTATTCTCAAAGGCGTTCAGCTCGGCCTCTGCCTCTGCCGCCGGGAACGCCTCCTCGTTGACGGTAAAGGGCACCTGGTTGAGCTGGCCTGTGGCGGCGGCCACCAAGTTCTGCCCAGCCATCGAGAGCTGGTCCAGCACCGGTATGTTGCCCAGTATGTCATCCACGCCGTCCGTCACCGAGTCGTAGAGCCGCGTCATCATGTCCTTCTTGTCTTCGCGGTCCATCACATCTTGACCCTCCGATATGACGCTCTGAGACAGGAACGCGCGCATCTCGCGGCTGCGGCAGACGTCGGGCAGAAGCAACAGGCCTCGGAGGTACTTCTCGAGCGCCTCACGCCTCTTGCGCAGGAACTCGCTCTGGAAGTTCATCACCACCCGACGCCGGGGGAAGTCGAGGTTTCGCACCGAGGGGTACCGAGATCGTAATTTCTGGTGTAGCTCGTGAAACTCGCTGTACCGCCTCGTCACGATCCATGACGCCGCCGGCATCTGCTCGCCCGCGTTGCGCTGCACCTCCACCACGTAGAGGGCAAACTCCCGCCCGTCGTCTTCCCTGCCGACCTGTATCGACTTGATCCGGACTGTCGACCGGCCGTAGAGACTGTTGTCGCTCTCCTGCACCACGTACTGCTGGCGCTGAAGCTCCTTGTGGCGTATCTCCCTCTGCAGGCTGGCCTTGGACTTTTTGAGAATCCGCAGCTCGGCCGTGTTGTTTGTGAGTTCGGCCTTCCTCGTAAGAGACTGCACAACGGCCTCCTGCGAAGCGAGCCGGTCAATATCGTTTGTGAGAGCAGTGATGGCCTCTGCCAGACCCAGGTCGCCGGGTGCAGCCTCGTGCACCTCTTCATCGCCGTCGACGGGTTCCTCGTCGTTCTCCTCGTCATCTTCCTCGGCTACATATTTATCTTCATCGCCGAATAGGTCGTCGTCCACAAACACGCCAATCCTCGATGCCGCACTGACTAGGCCGAGGGAAGAAAGGCTGGGCTTCTCGGCCTCTTTGCCAGCCTGCAGAGGGCCAACTTGATGGCCAGAGTCCATGGACCCTCGGTGGGAGTAGTTATCTCTATCCCGTGCAGACATGATGCTGGGTGCCTTGCCGCCCTCTTCGACGCTACCAAATAGCGATGCGCGGAGGTCTTCTGCAGACTGGGGCCGATTATCGTCGTCCAGGATGCTGTTCAGGGCCTGCTCTACGGCTTCGACGACCTGTGTATCGGGGGCCTGCTCGCGATTCTGATCCAGGCTGTGGACTGAGTCGATCATGGGGTCGTTATCTATGTCATCATCATCAAATAGAGGGGTTGAAGCGCCCTCATCCAAAGACCTCCGTGTACCGATCGGCAGCTTGTCGGCATTTTTGCCCAGAGATCTCAAATCTGTCGCTGAGTCTGCGCGGACGGTCTTGCTTGGCTGCGGAGCTGTCAGGCGTGATATAGGTTTCGGTTTGGTCTGGTACGATGATGATGCGTGGTACTCGGGTCGCGCAGCGGGGGCTTGACTGGGTTCGGGGATCGGGGCCGGCGCAGACCTGCTTTTCGCCGCCTCCTGGGAAGCAAGGCACTTGTAAAACAGATCCGACTTCTTAAATGCTTGGAAGAAGCGGTTCTTCATCTGGTCCAGAACAGCCGTCTGAGCTCTGAGCACCGCTCTCCTGGCCTTGTAGTACTGCTCAGGTGTGGCAGCCTTGCCGGATTGTAGAAACTCCTTGATGACGCGGATCGATGCGTCTGGAACGCTGAGCTCTGTTTTGGAGAGGTATGCCTGGTAGACCTGCTGTAGGTCAATGCGGTCAGAGTCTGTCCATTTTGGCAGAGTCGACGGCAGCTGCTCATCGTCCTGTGCTTCATCTTCCAGTGGATTTCGGAAGCCATCAGCGACGAGCCAGAACTGGACAAGAGACATCATGCCCTGGCGGTCCATGTACTCCATAAAGTACGAGAGACCAGACGAGTCACGCAGGAGCTCCTGCAGGGAGCAATTCTCCAGCGGCGAGGAGGCAGAAGGCATAGGGCCGGGTGGCGGAGCAGGGGGCATGGCCCTGCGGTCTCCGCCAGCAGCAAGCTGGGCAACCCTTACATCGAGGAGGCGCTTGCCCATCTCGAGGCGGCGTATGTAGACAGGGTCGGGGTCGTCCATGAGGGAGTCGCGCTTGAGCTGGCTGCTGACCTCGCTGCGGAAGCGGCGCGCATCAGACAGGTTGTTGACCTTGCGGATGCCACGGACGAACTTTTCAAACTTGCGCTCACTGTCTCCCGGAGTGATGCGTGGCATGATGACCTGTTTTCTAGCCTTGGGGTTGGGCAGGGCATGCTGGTCGAGGGCGGCACGGAGCTTGCGGACGGTAGAGCGGTCCTGCAGCAAGGAGCGGCCCGACCTCTCCATGACCTGGTTCCAGGTGTCCGGTTCAGCGAGTAGCTGGATAACTGGGAATAGAACAGCGCAGGCCACGATCTCGCGGACAAGGGAGCTGACGACGCGGCTGGCGAGCATGCTGGGCGGCAGCACCTTGGGAAGGATGCGAGAGACCAGCGACCGCAGATAGTCTTGCTGGATCATCTTGGTGTCTGGGAACGATAAGGAGGCGGCGGGGTGCAGGCGACCGTCACGGAACTTGGAGGCAACAGCCAGGTCGAGCTCCTCGGACTCGGTGACGGACCGGTTGAGCTTGCGGCCGCGCACGGCCTTTTCGGCGTCGTAAAAATCGCGGAAGTGAGCCGTCAGCAACGGAACGAGGCGGCTGGTGACAACGTCCACCAGGTCCTTTTCACCTAGGGACTCATAAATGCTCGACAAGGCCTGACGTATCGCCCGGTCCACCTCGTTGGGAAAGCACGGGTTGGGGCTGATGTTGGAGTACCACCCGATGACAAAGTCCCCTAGCACGAGGTCGAGGACGTGGTCGATAGCATGCGACACCTTTGTTGACTCCGAGAAGAGGGTCGACCGCTCGTATTCCTCCCGACGACCCAGGGCAGCCACCTCGGTGCGCCATGCTGCAGCGCCCGTGAAGAAGGCGCCGGCCGGCCGGGGCCGTCGCTGTACAGGTTTCTGAGAGACGAGGACGAGGGTGGCTACCAAGCCGAGCACAGCGGCCACGAAGCCGGTGACGAGGGCGTGGCCTACCCAGCGGAGGGCCGGAAGCCAGCTCACAGCGTAGCCCCACGCAACAAAGGCAGCTGTGGCCGCAAGAGCCGCATCTCGTCGCTTCAGCGCCATGGCCGTGACAGAAGCTCGGATTGCATGGTCAAACGAGTCTAGCGTATATATATTTTTTCCTCGTTTACGTTCTTTCGACTAGGCAGCGGGGCGGTAGTATCTGGGCTGTGCGTGGATTGATGTAGAACTGGAGGGGTCGGGAGAAGGTCGAGTGGTGATGTGTTGGCAGCTCCAGGAGTGTGGAGGAGGGGACCCTTGTTGTGCGTGTCGAAAACGTCACATGCCACGATAACGGATACGAGGCAGGAATGATGGAAAGAGCAAAAAGAGTCAAGACCGACAACCAAACTATTGATGGAAATATATCTAAAGCAATGTGAAACTGGGTTGATATAATTTTATATTATTTTTTTTCTTTTATCTTCTTTTCTTTTCTTTTTTTTCTTGCGGACTTGGTACGCGTAGCATTTATATATATATATATATATATATATATAAAACGGAATGACTGGGTTCCCCCATCTACCACGGAGGATCTTCCAGCCTGCGGAAGAGTGCAACAAACTTCTGCCCATTGTTCCTCTCCACCTTCTTGCCCTCCTCCGTCTCGCTTCTCATAATCTTTGTGCATTCGTCGGCCTCTTCCTCTTCCCTGGAGAGCCTCTCGAACGCCGGGTGAGCCTCGAGATGGTCGACCATCCACTCGTGCAGCGACTCAACGTCGGTAATGGTGTAGATGATGCCTCCCGGTCGCATGACATATGCGTACTCGGAGTTTAGCGTCATGGAGACGATGCGCGCCTTGTGTTTGCGCGCCTTGAAGTGCGGGTCGGGGAAGCAGATGAAGACCTTGGTCAGCTGAGCCTTGTTGAAGAAGTTGGGCAGGAACTTCATGGTGTTGGCGCGCACGCATGCTGCGTTCTGGTAGGGACCATCGGGGTCCTGGGCGCGCAGAGCCAGGATCTTCTTCCGCACGAATTCGGCGACTTGTGATCGGATTTCGAGGCCTAGAGCTCATCCAGAGTCAGTGGAAAATTCCCGGCCACCAGTCTTCGCCTTTTTTCTTCCACCACAACGCACCGAGTAGCAGCTTGTCAGGCATGGCTGGTGACAGAGCCATAAGGAGACCGCCAAAGCCACAGCCAATGTCTACCACTTCGACATCCTTGGTCAGGGCCTTGGGTCCCGGTATCGACTCTTGAGTTATCGCTGTCTCGTCCACGTAGGCCGGGTAGTATGGTGACCAGTCCATATGGGCCGGGGAAATAGGGCTGAGGTTGCGCGTGTCAGTAAGAATAGTCCTCTGGTGATGAATATGGGAGGAGAGTTTCCCTCACTATTCGAGGAAGTGGTCAGAGAAAGGGTTCGCATGCGCTCGCTGACGGTAGAAGCGCTTTCGGGGTAGGCGCGTCAATGTATCTTGCTTCTTGACATCTTTGCTGGGCTTGCCATGCTTGGGGCGCTTGTGCCCCTTCTTGGGGACCATTTTGTTCATTGTGCCGGTTCCTTTTGCCGAGAGGACAGCCTTCAAAAGAGGGCTGTTGCAAGAGGACCGCTCGGATATGGGAATGCGTATTATTTTTAATTTTTAATTTTTTTTTACGACGCTGGAGATGCAAACTTGATTCTGCCGTCGTCGAGGGGAAAAAAAATCCAGAATAGGAAGGCGGTGTGAAGCTCTGGAGGTGCAGCTCAACAGGCGACGATTCAACTCGATGTCTTTCATCTACGAACATATTTGGGTAGCTATGCTGAAATACTCCTTGAAGTGTAGAGAATGTGTGAAGAGTATAAGTATTTCCTGAATATTAGTCTATTATGCACTTTTCGAAGACGATATTATCATACAGTCGCCTTCTCTTGACGATCCTTCTTGGCCTCGTTGACTACGGTGACGGCATGATCCACTACTTCTTTCTTGACCATGCTGGCCTTCCTGGGATTGCGCGCCTGGAAAACGTGGTTGAGTTCCTCGAGGGTGCGGCCTTTTGTCTCCACCATGAAGGTCCAATAGTACGCAGCCTGGGCTAAGCAGACTGCCAAGAAGACAATGTACGTCTTCCAGTCAATGCGCTCGAGAGCAACAGGTATGGCAAACATGTTGACGAGGGCGGCAGCATTTCCAGTCATGTTCTGCAGGGCCATGCCCTTTGCACGCTGCTCGTAGGCGAGGACCTCAACGGGGTACATGGCCTGAAGCGGAGTGTAGGCGAAGCTGAAGGTCATGCCGATGACGAAGATGAAGGCGATGGAGGCCCTGGCGGCGACTGCGTCGTCATCCTCGATGTAGACGCCGGCACAGGCCGCCATCATGGCCCACGCTCCTGCCAGGGTAAGGCAACAGGAGAGCATGATGATCCTCCGGCCCAGACGGTCCATCAAGCTAGCGCCCAGCACGGCTGCAGCGCCCGACGCCAGCGAGAGGCCCAGGTTGATGTTGAATACAGTCTTCGTGTCGTTGATTCCAATCGTTGTAAGCATGCCGGGGAGAAAGTACGACACGCTCGCTTGACCTGTCCACTGACTGAGGATAGACAGGGCGACAGCACACAGCAGCACGCGGTACAGCGAGGCGCGCGAGTCGAACAGCGACCGGTAGTCCCACCATCTCTTGTCGGCGCCGTCTAGCACGAGCTCCTGCTCGAACTCGCTCATCTGCAGATGCACCCAGAGAGAGTCCGGGTTACCATTTCCGTGGTATCGCGTCAGGAGGGACCTGCAGGCCTCGGTACGCTCATGAGAAAACAGCCAGCGAGGGGACTCGGGCACAAACACGCAGCCGATGAGCAGGGTGGCCGGCAGCGCTAGCTGCACCCAGACTGGAATCAACCAGGCTTGGTTGGTCTCGTACTGCACGCAGCCGCGCAGGACGGCCGCGGCCAATACAGCGCCCACGTAGTAGCACGTGTTGTAGAGTCCCGTGAGGACACCGCGCATGCTGGGGTGGGCGAATTCGACGACGTACGAGGGCGCAATGGCGTTGGCCATGGTGCCGCCGAAGCCAAGGAAGAACCGTCCGGCCATGAACTGGTCCAGGTGAGATGAAGTTCCTTGGACGATGGTGCCGATGATGATGAAGATGCCGCCAACGGCTACGCCAACTCGTCGGCCATACATGTCCGCACAGGGGCCGACGATGGGCAGAGCCGCCACGGAGCCAATCTGGTACATGCTGGAGATGAGTCCCGTCTTGACTCCGAGCACCTCGGCACCAAACTGTCGCTGGAAGGGCAACATGCTCAGCATGTTGCCCATCAACGACCCGTCGTAGCCGTTCATGGTCGAGCCCAGGAACATGAGCCCACAGATGGCGAATTGCTGAATCATCCGCCTGCTCGACTTGACGGGTGGCTCCACGCGGCTGGCAACCTCGAGAGTAGCTACTTCGGACAGGCTCTGCAGCATCTTGACCTCATTGGGCACTCCGGAGGGTGAAACCTCCGTTCCACTGTCAGCTACCATCGAGAAGGGTAGTAGATGATGTGGTTGTGTAGAATGATGGATGCCTTGAACAGGCGGGGTATTCTTCCCCTCGAGACCTCGAATCTCTGATGTAAAGATCACAGACGAGAGACGCAATGGGAGACGGCGAAACAGCTACGTTATATGTTATACATAGATATGTGAACGGGAGGGAAATGAAGAATCAATAACCTAATCGTTGTTTTGGGGTGGGCCACCTCGGCTCAGGTGTTCGCGGGACACGGAACCAGCAGGGCTTACAGGAAGATCATCATGTACTTGTACATACAATTGGCGGCTCCAAAGTGTGTGTTGCAGCAAAAGTAACGCTCATCGAAGGACACCAGATCAGACACCCCCCCTCCCCTCCCTCCGACACACATGCACGCACCTCCCGACATGTGGGCTCCCAGGGTGCAACACGGGGTAGGAGTTATAACACGGAGCCCGCAGATATGATTCCCGCTCTTGAAGCTCGGTACATGCACTGTGATTGTGAGTGCGTCCGACCTTTTTCCCGCTTTGACTCTATTGGCAAAAGGCAAATGGTAAGGAAGTGACCCGCTCAACCTCGGGGATGGACACCTTGTCACTGCGCATCAACTTCAAGACGTCAAGGGCCGAGAGGTTCAAAGTTTCCCTCCTCCAGCTCCAGTACCCCACCGCGACGGCAGATCCATCAGCAGCTAGGCCTTTAACCGATCCTTTCTCCGGCTTTCACCAGGGCGTCCTCGTGAACAGAATGATACCTTGAGAGGGAAAAATCCATGTGCGGTTGAGATTCAAAGGTGCTCCTGGTGGGTGATGACCCATATAAGGATTGAGAGTTCCCGGGGCTCGATAGATTGATCCTGAACCCTCCCTCTGCTACCTCATCCTCCTCCTCTGACACCCAAAATTCTGACACTGCAAGTTGACCGCACGAGATGCCCACATCTGGCTACTCGTCGACGCCGCCGGCGATTGACACGTCATCTGTCGACGGCGACGCCAACCACGTCCCGCCCATCTTCCCGATTGGACCATTCACCAAACACGCGGCCAACCCGGTGCTGACGCCCAACCCAGCCTACGAGTTCGAGTCGGCGCACCTATACAATGCGACAGCCATAGTCATTGACGGGCGGGTGTTTCTCCTTTACCGCGCGCAAAACGCCGCCAAGGTGTCCGTAGTCGGGCTGGCCTGGTCAGACGACGGCGTCAACTTCACGCGGCTGGACCGACCCATCCTGACGCCTACGGAAGATTGGGAGGAGGGCGGCGGCGTCGAGGACCCGCGCGCGGTGCGCATCAACGGCACCGTCTACATGACGTACACGGCCTACGACCTCGACAAAGCCCGTCTATGCCTCGCCACGTCGACGGACCTGATCAACTGGAAGAAATACCCACCCCTGTACCCGGGCTGGGACGAGCTCGAGGTCACGGTTTCGGGGCGTCACGGCATCCGGCGCGACTGGACAAAGGCCGCGTCCATCTTCACGGAGCCCAATGCCGAGGGCAGGTACGAGATGCTGTGGGGCGAGTCGTGCATCTACTCGGCCGAGAGCGACGACCTGATACACTGGAAGACGCGCCCCTTTGACGAGTACTTTGCGACGGGCGTCCATCTGTGGGAGAACCGCCTTCTCGAGGCCGGTCCCGCCCCGGTCAAGACGAAGGACGGCAAGTGGATCTTTTTCTACAATTCCGCGACCACGGGTGGCGGCAAGTACAAGCCGAACCAGTACTCCATCGGCCAGATGCTGGTGGACCGCAACAATCTGGACAAGGGACCCGTCGCGCGCGCGGAGCAGCCGACCCTGGCGGTGGACCAGAGCAACGAGGAGGTCGGTCAGGTGAACCAGGTCGTCTTCTGCGAGGGCATCGTCCAGTTCAAGGGACAGTGGCTGCTGTACTTTGGCCAGGGCGACAGCGAGCTCGGCGTGGCCGTGGCACCAGCAGTCTGACGCGGACGTGACGTGCATGGCACATGATTCTCGTTTTTCATGATTGGACAATACCGACGTACATACACATACTAGCACATGTCACATGCGACTTCCCTCCCCTCCCAGTGAAGAAGCGTGATTCTCATTCTATGATGCAGCAGCCCCGTCCGGTTTTCGCATATGGCCCTCGAGGCTCAGACTTCTCAGATCGCGAAACATCCAAAAGACGGAATAGCCGTCAATCATCTCGACATCCCAGGGCCCGCTGCCGATCTGGTCCCTGACGTGGCGGGCCAGACCGTCGAAGCGGGTGCCCACGGGCTTCCACAGATTCAGAAGCGACCGGCAGTTTCCCGCCTTGGTGAGCTTCCACATGTCGAGCAGGACCTCGACGGTGGTAGCCTGTATGTCCCCCAGTATAGGCCAGTGGTTGATGACGACAGACGGGCATATGAAGACGGACCGGGCGAGCGCGCATATGAAGTGGATGACTCCGGGGACGGGCCGCAGACCGATGGCCTGGCCCAGGGAAGGGTTGTGGTACAGCAGGTGCTGGTATATACGCAGGAACACGAGCGTCTGCAGCATGTGGGTGATCGTGGCGGCGGGCGTGGCAGGCATGTCGTCACGTACGTCGAGGTATTCGGACGGCATCTGGGCGACGTTGAGAAGCGTCGTGTACTCGAGCTCGGCCCAGGCTACCGTCGTGTCAGGCGTGTTACCTCTGCCCTGGGTGGTGCGACGCAGGTGGACGAATGATGCCGCCAGGTGCGTCAGCTTGAGGTAGTGCGGTGCCCAGGTGCCGGGCTCGGTCGTATCTCGGTAGTCGAGGATCGTAGAGGGCTTGAATGGAGGTAAGGTGGGGAGCGGGGCGAACCCGACGAGGGATAGCCACGAGTACGATGTCAGGCAGCCCACGGCGATGGGCATCGGGGTGTTCTCCAGCGGGGCGTTGGACGTGGATAGCGGTAGGAGGACCTGGAGACCGGTCAGCCTTAGCCACGGAGGAGGGAGGCGGGGGCGGTGGGCCTCACCCTGTCGACGAGTCGGCTGTCTGGCTGTATCCGCGACAGAAGGAGCATCAGGCCCGCGCAGTCGGACAGGTCGACGACGCATCGGCTGGCCAGGAGAGTGTGCAGCTCGTGCAGGTCCGTGTCCGACAGGCCCCCGCAGCGAGTCGCCAGCGACAGCTTGCCCGCCAGTCGGACGCAATGTCTCAGTACCGGCGACAGAGCCGAGTCGTCGTCGCCTGCTAGATACTCGGTCGGAATGAACGGCACTTCTCTCCGCACTACTCCGCCGTACAGTTCAGCCGTGCTGAGCCGCGTCATCGCTTCGTCCTGGATGATGCTCTCGACGATGATGGCCTTGTCCGCGCTCGCACCCGCATCCTCTCCAGGTCGGGGGATCTGACAGTCCCCGTTGCCCACCCGGGTGAGGGCCGATTCGTTGTTGACGGCTGGGGTGACGCGTCGCGCGGATGACGGCGGGGAGGCGCCTGAGATGACCACGGCTTCCTCTGGGCTGCTGACAGACAGACTGGAGGCTATCATCTGCGACCTCCTTTGGCGCTTGACGCTCGGTTTCCTCGGCGATATCTCGCATGTCGTGTTGAGGTGTTGGCAGGCTAGACATCGACCGTCTGCCGACCCTGATGGAGGGAGTACGCACTTCTTCTTGCGGTGCCGGCAATAGCGACATGACTTGAAGAGCGGGTTGGGCTGTGGGTAAGCAAAGGTCATTCTCTCCTCCGGGAGGGGATGGGGTTTCCGATTGATTTTTCTATATCAGTTGGTTTCGCCTCTTCTCAAGAGCCTACTCCTGCTATTAGATATATCATACGACTGCGAGAAAGAAAAAAAAAAGATTATGAAAGGAAAGGAAAGGGAAAACGAAAAGAAAATAAAAAACCAAAAACCAAGATAACTGACCCCCCCCCCCCCCCCCCCATCAAAGGGTAGAGTGCCAAACCGAGGTTTCGGCGACGATCCTTTTCATCTGGCCGTGTGGTGGGCCGCCGCGACCCACATGAACGATGCTAATCACGCAGTATCCATGGACCGTAGGTACCGAAGAAGGCGGGAAGGTTGGCTGCTGAGCAGGGTCTCGATCAGTCCGTTTGAAACATGTAGATTGGTTCCTACAGACAGTGAAGATATGGGGAGACTACATCATGTACGTATCTTTGATTGACGCGTGTTGGCAAATGCTACATGCAGCAGGTTGCTCTCAACCGTCGAAATCCTTGGCAATCGTCACCTGGATCCTCCTCTCTGTACATCTCCCACCAGACGTAGAGTTCTCGGCGCTATTCCCATCTACAATAAGACTGTGCATGGCTCGCTACTGTGACTTTCTTTTCTTTTCTTTCTTTCCGCTGCAACGGGCACTGTCAGCGTACATCAATCACTCTTCTCGGGGGGTTGGAGTACGTATGAAAACCGAGCGTTCCTCTTCTCACCGTCAGACTACTCCGTATCCGTTTCCCGTCTCCCGTCAAGTATTAATTATCATGATCATTCCCCAAACGGATAACCACGCGACTGGTAGATGAAAACAAAGCTCCATACAAAGTGGATACAGGAGGCTATAACTTACTGCCGGCAGGAAGGCCCAAAGGAAAAGCAAGTTGTGTATGTACCGAAACTACAAGGCCCCTTCGTACGAGATCTCGTACATGTGTGTGGGTGGGGGAGGGGCAACCCATCATGCCACGTCCAAAAACAAGGCAGAGGATTCTACTTGCATTGTGTATGTTGCAGAGTGCCACTGCAAAGGGGCCAGGGACTCCCACCACATGGTCTCCTGGTATCCGTGGCGGATCCGGCAAATAGGAGATTTTCCCATAGTCTCAAGCCTCCTCATGCTTAATCCCGGGTCCCCATACACTTAGATCCCTAAATCCCTCCACCCGTGTTATGTTGGTCGGGGGCTGGGGGCTGGGGGCTATTCCCTACTCGGTTGATGTCGCTCTATATTGGTTCATGTAAGCACTAGTGCATGTCTCCTGGTGAGGGAGTTGGTTGCATCCTCTTCAGATTCAATGTACCGATACATTAGGCACTATCGTCCTTGAAAAGGGTACGAGCACGGTACTAGTGTGGTACCGATAGATCCGATCCTTGAATCAATCCAACTTTTGGGATTCCTCGAACCCTGGGGGAAAGGATGACCCCAGGTCTCTAACTGCTCAGGTGCCAGCCGTGAAAGTACAGTGCAGCCGGTATGCCCTTGCATGCTTTCCGTATCAGATGGCGAGTCGCTCTGACGGCCGAGAGAGGTGTCATTCCCCGTGTGAGGAAGCGTCTGCAGACACCTAACCTGCCAGATCTTGCCACCCATCCAGTCCTGAAGGAACTGCCTTGTCGCACGGCACGCTACATGCCCCTTCCGATCGTATCAAGACACAATGGCGTCGACGACCACGGGACGATGGTCGGACGTGAAAAAATCGTTGTAGTAGGTGTGCAGGATGGCAAACGACACAAACTTGATGCCTTGGGAATTCTTGGAGAAGATGTAGTCGATGCGCTGTCCTTCCTGGCCGGTCTTGAAGCCGGTGAAGGTGTTGTTGTAGCCGTAGTGTCGGTCCCCGGACACCTGGTCGAAGGTGTCAGACAGCTCCGAGGTGAGGGTGGCGTAGGCCTCGTTCTCCGGGTCGACGTTGAGGTCTCCGCCGATGAAGACGGGGGTGCCGTCTCCGTCGGACCAGTCAGAGGCGAATCCCAGGATGAGCTGGGCCGACTTCTGGCGGGCCTCGGTGCCCTTGTGGTCGAAGTGGGTGCACATGTGCACAAACTCCTTGGCCGAGGCCTTGTTCCGGAATCGGACGACGGTGACGATGCGCTCGAACGCCGCGTCCCACCCCTTCGAGACCTCTTCGGGCGTCTCGCTGAGCCAGTACGTCGTGCTGTTGAGGATCTCGAACGCCGACGGCCGGTAGAAGATGACGGAGTACTCGCCCGCCTCGCCACCCTCGCGACCTTGACCGTAGTACTCCCATCCGTTGCCCAGCCCGCTCTTCAGGTCCTCCACCTGCCCGTGCTTGGCCTCCTGGAAGCACATGAGCGTGTCCGGGTTGCCGGCCACCTCGTGGCTCAGCTGTGCCACCATGGGACCGACCCTTTCAGTCCAGTCCTTCTCCCCCTCGCCCAGATCGGCTGTCTGCTGACGAACGTTGTGCGTGATGAGGCGCAGGTCCAGAGCCTGGGCTGCAACCACGAGGCTGCTGGCCAGAAGAAAACTGAACAGCGATACCATGGTCGGGGGCGTTTCAAGTCAGGGACGCTTTTCTGTATGCAGAGATGGATAAGTCAGTGAAGCTGGGGGGGATGGCTAAACAAGAATGGAAATCTACCGCGGAATCGGTCCTCTCTTATAACCGCCCAGTACTTTTCTCCTTACGAAATTTGTCTCGCAGAAGTCCTCCCGTGCTATACGGAATCCTACCAGTGGGTCCGTTCGCATTGAGCCTGTAGCCGGTGGACTAGGCAGAGTACTACTCTGAGACATGTCGCTCGCGATGATCTCCTAGTATGGCAGCTGTGAGATGATTTCTCCGTTTAGTTTAGCATAAGCTTGATCGCAGGATTGTCGGAAGTTTTGTCGGAAATTAGTACATGCTCATCAGAGCAGGAGGGAGGGACTATTTTCTGCCAGTGATAACATCTGCAGACTGACTTAGGACCGCGTTAGAAAAAAGAAGCTTGCTGTTATGCACCTTTAGTATCCTTGTCACAAGATTTTGCGGCGGGGACGCGGCTGATGGAAGACACTAAGGAGATCGAATCACACAGCCCTATCGGGTAGTTCGTCTACATCGTATTAGTCATGCTATGAGTATGTAACATCATGTTTCACACGGCATCCGAAAGGGTTCCTATTATCTATCATTGTCATTCGCCGTTGACCCTCCGTGCGGGGGGAAGAAGGTACTTCTACAAGTGTATTGATATATGAGAGGGGGAAACTATGGTTGTCCTGGATGAAAGCCCTCCTTCAGCGATGACCTGGGGCCCGGATCGGTCCCGCTACGTGTCCACTTCAGTCTAAGATGATGGTGTCTAGCTCACCAAAAGCCTCGCATTTCCTCATAGAGGGGGGCGCACCGCGCTGATAACATCAATCATCATGAGAACCGATAGATCGTCTGCAAACTCACCGGCCAACTCCTAGCTCTTATTCTCCGTAATGCATGTCCCAGGGATCCAATAGAATAATAAGCATCTCAGCCCATTTCTCGGGCGTTCCTTAAGCGAGGTCCACAGTTCTTGACATGCGCACGGTGAGACGCTGATCTTGGAGATCGGGGTAGGCTTTTATGACTCTCATCTTGGTCTCAGAGGTGCTAATGATCGTGACCTAGTTTAGTTCTGAGGAGGTAGGTATTATCACTACACAGGGGAGACAAATAGACAGAGAGAAAGTAGGAGAGCGATAGAAGTAGAGACCTACCAGGACGATCTGAAGATGCCTCCATTTCTCCCAGGCTATTCGGACAGTAATCGTAGACGTCACGGTGCACACCTGGCCAACAGACAGGATGTTCTCTTGGAGAGGGCGGTCGTCTACTAGATAGCATGTTCTATGGGGGGGGGGGGGGGGGGGGGTGTGTAGCCTGGCCTCTCCAAGATGACATCGACTGCCTAGGTGGATCTGATCCAGAGGATCAAACTCGCTCATACGATCTTCAACGGCCGAGCTAGACAAAGGCTTAGGAGCCGATATCAAAGCTGCACTTGGGAACCGCACCGCATGCCCCGCGAGCATCACATTCGCGCCATAGAGCGACAGAATGAGTGCAGGGGTGGGCGGGGAGGGGGACGGCCTACTGTCGACATGCCCAACCTGCCATGTCAAGAACGCTCGGCTGTTCAAGTCTCTCTCTGTCCATGAGGAGAGCGTCGAAGAACCGCCACAGGTCTCTAGCCTTCCACAGGTTAGATGTGTGAGGGTAGATGTATGAGGGTCGTGACCGAAGGGAAATGGCGCTTTTCGGAAATGAGAGGCTCAGCATTATCTAGCCAGCCTTCGATAGTTGCTGTGGGCGCGAGTTCCATGAACCGTGGCCCGCCCATCCCGGCATTCGCCTATATCGAAATCGAGGGAGTAGGTGTCGAGATGTCGATGCCAAACTGCGGTAAGCGTCCTACGTCCCCACGCAACGAGTAACGACTCGGGGCAGACAGCTCTAGGAGTGGATACCTAAATCTATCAGTTCAGTCTCTATGTGGGACATGCGTGCCTCTCGAACTCGGCGGAAGGCGGTGCTGAAGCCATTGTTGAAGAAGATATCGAGCTACAGATATCGAGGTAGCTCGGAGGCCTTCTCCTGGTCGGGCGGCTCGACTCTGAAGGAAGGCCATGGCGTCCTCTTTATGCTCATCAACAGCAGGCAGTCGGAAATTGTGAGCCGGTCATACGTTGTGGCGGTTGGGGGGGATGCGGTGGCACTGTATGGGATTTCTGACGTGACGATGCGTACAGGCACACGTCAAGAGTTGCCCATTCATGGATGGATAGGTGTGAGACCCTACTCCGGTTGCGAGTCGGCGACACAAGATTGATAGCACCGGGCCGAAATAAGCCCCAACCGACGAGGTCACATGACCAAGATACATCTCATTCTGTAACCTCCTGAGTCGCTATACGCGCCTTTTCCGAGGAGAGAGAATCAGGCATCTGCTATACTCCGTGATATTTGCGGCTGAGAAGAGGGTCACCTACCATCATGCATTGTCTGCGAACTGGTCTGTCTGTTTGTGTGTAATCTGTACTCATGCACACGTCTCCTTCAGGTCTTCCAAGGATACCACCGCGACGTCAAGGCCATGCCATGGTATTCTGTTCACACGTCGTGTTTGTAACGGATAGCACCGGCCATGCTATCCTCGAGAGGCAACATTCACTTCCAAGGAAAACTACAGCCGTCATCGATCCCGATTTCGACGGTCCCCTTACCCGCCTAACCCCCCGCGCCGCGTATCTCCGTAGTCTGTCGGAAATGTGCTAAGATTCAGGAACGTCTTTCGGCAGCACCAAGCAATGTACGCGTGGCTTGTCCTATTGGACCGTCGTGTCCTGAGAACCGGGGTATTAAGCTTCACCTACAGCTGGTCTCATGATAGTCACTGTGGCAAAGGGAATTCCCGCGACATTATCGGGTGCCGTAGCGGAAATCCGCTATCTCCACCTCGGCGATAGACAACTTGGGGGAGTTGTGGGGGGTTGGTTATAACTTGTGGATACATGTACGTGGTGATATCTTGCTGTCTACTAATACCATTACGATACGCGGAGATGTCAAGGTCGCAAGTAGCTCATGAGTGCTACGCAGTCCCGGTATCCACGTCTGTATTCCCGAAGTAAGGAGTATGTGAGCTTTTCGGGAGGGCTCTGTATATATCCCCAAGGTGGCTCTTCCGTCTGCGGTCCTGTACTCGACATGCGCATGGGCGATTACCCACCACAAGTCCCGAGGCGAGGAGGGTGTGCGTGCAACTGCCGACGATGTTGTCGCTCGTGACCGTCTGTGAACTTCGGTCTGGTCCGCGCGCTAGCACGATTAAGCCGTAGGGAAGCGTTTGTCGTATATCCGTCACGCGGCACTGGTCGGCAACGGGGGTCCGACCGTGTCGGGGACGTCACATCTTTGGGTATCGTTGGCTTATCTTCCCAAAGTAGTTGATAACATTATGTTATTGGCCGATAACCATGCATGAAGCTTGATTGCCAATGAACTCATAGTGTCGAGAGATACAAGATACCTAGATAGCAGCGATGCTGCAGTTCATCAATTACACAGGTGCCGGGATAAATATATCCACGTGCATTTCTGCTTCCAGAGTCTGTTCTTCTCTCCGACGGTCCCTCAACTTCAATTCGAAGGTCGTTTCAACTTGTTCTCTCCAGCTTTGCATTCACATACAGTTGCGACGATGAGGACCACGACGGGAACGACACCTGAATCCGACGTCGACCGGAGGCTCCCACCGGGGACGGTCCATCTCATCGACAGGGACGGGACCGAGATCGCCAGACACGCTCAGGGAAAGGGAGAGAAAGATGTCATCCTCGTCCCTGAACCCAGCGCGGACCCGGAGGACCCCCTCAACTGGACGGTGAGGCGCAAGATTCTGGCGACCAGCTGCATCGTCGTCTACACCATCACCATTGCTATCCCGTCCAGCGCCGTGTATTCGATTGTGACGCCGATTCTGCAGCACACATCGTTGGACCTCACTGACATCAACAACGGTACTGGCATCATGGTACGTGGTTGGCGCTTCACGATGCCTCGTCTTCTGCCTCGACCCAGCTGACCCTCTCTCCTCAGTTCCTCTTCTACGGATGGGCGTGCATCCCTTGGCAGGCGATTGCTCTGCAGTATGGCAAGCGTCCGGTCTACCTCTTCTCCTTGGTTGCCAACATCATCATCCTGGCGACGGCTCCCCTCTGCAAGACATCAGGGACGTACCTCGCCAACCGTATTCTCCTCGGCATGTTCGGCGCCCCCGTCGAGTCGCTCCCCGAGATCAGCGTTACAGACATCTGGTTCACCCACGAGCGCCCCAAGTACCTGGCCTTGTACGGGTGGTCGCTGTCTCTCACCGGCAAGCTGGCGCCCATGCTGTCCGGATTCATCAACATCGGCATGGGCTGGGAGTGGACGCTTCGGTGGTGTGCCATCTGGTGCGCCATGGGCCTCGTATACTGCTTCTTCGCAATGGAGGAGACCAACTATGATCGGAAGCACACGGCTCCTATGCCTGCTGCTGTGACCGAGACCCTTTCCCAGGATGGCGGCGCCGCCTCCAACACGGCCGATGAGGTTGGGACCGAAAAGGCCCAAGATTCTGAGAAGATTCAGGCCTCTGAGCCGGACAGTGAGGTCGGCCAGATCCAGTGGCCGAGAAAGTCGTACGTGGATAAGCTTGGCTTCAAGGATAAGAAGCGTCCCAACCGCCTCGTCGACATCATGATCGGGCCTTTCAAGGGATTCACATATCCTGCTGTCGTCTGGGCTGGGTGAGTCCCCCATCGTATCCAACGTCCATGGACTCGGCACATGCATGACTGACCAGCATCATTCACAGCCTCATGTACGGAGCCAATAACCTTGTGTGGCTTGGTGTCCAGAATGCCACCATCGGCACCGTCTACACGACGCAGTACGGATTCAGTACGGCCGGTGTTGCTGGCGGCTATGCCGGAGGTGTCATCGGTACCATTATTGGGTGAGTGGGATCCAGACAGAGGCAGTAGCCATCTGTGTCGGATGCTAATGCGCCTTGACAGCGGATACTATTGCGGAAAGGTCGGGCGTCTGCTCACGATCAAGCTGGCCCGCCGCAACGGCGGCATCTCTGAGCCCGAACATAACCTCTACCTCTTCATCGCCAGTTGCATCCTCGTGCCGTTCGCGTCGATCCTGTACGGTCTCGGAGTCAAGTACCACGTCCACTGGATGGCCCTCATCATCTCTCAGGTGGCCCTGTCCATCAACTCGTCCCTCTGCATCGGATGCGCCCTAAACTACGCCATCGGCAGCTACGGTGAGCTCTCGGGACAGATGGTGACGACGTGTATCCTCATCAGGAACACGCTCTCCTTTGCTGTAAACTACGGAATCACTCCTTGGATCAATGCTAGTGGATACCTCCGCGTTTACTGCATCATTGCCGCCATCTCCCTGGTCTGGAACTTGAGCTTTATACTCATGGTCAAGTATGGCCGTACACTGAGAGAGAAGACTGCTGCCAGGTACTGGCGCGACGTTGCACATGCCAGATCCAAGGGTCTTGGCCACTAGTTAATACCCCATGCAGGCAGGATATGACGCAGAATAATACGAGAAAAAAAACATGTGAATCCTCTCATTCAGTAGCATTAGAGAGATATATACATAGCTCATCATGTATAGTATTGAAGAACTGCACATGCACCGTGCGAGGACAGCCTCCCCGGTGCCCATGGCTGCAACTGCGTCTGACCCAACCTTTTCCGCAAAAGCTCTATGAATGGACGTGTGTCCACCCGCTATGGCCGAAGACAGTGCCATCATGTCTTCGTGATGAGCAGTGTGAACTTCAATGTACTCCGTATGTAGTCCCGAGTAAGAGGTCAGGGCCCCTCACGTCAGCTATCAGGTGAGACCTTGACACGCTCGATGAATTCAGCTATGCCTTGGTAGTTGGCTGCGTACATCTATCTAGACATAGACATTGTTATATTGAAGCATGAATCGCAGTCTTCCAATGCATCATCACATTCGCCTCCTTGCCTCCTATACTCGTCGTACGCATACTTGATTAACACGTACACGGAACAGCAAGGACAGCTCCTGGTGATTGGAAAGGTCAGTACCAAGCTGGCCTGATACTACAAGACATGATCGGCAGTAGATGCGTGACCGTCCTCTACAGCCTAGGAGAGTGGCGTGAGTCCTCGGACTTGGCCAGCATCTACCTGTGCTCCGGACGCGAGCAGCATATCGCCAATCGTCCGGTGACCCTGCTGAGCAGTCACCAGGAGCGGCGTAGCGCCCGAGCGGTCGGTCACGTCGATGTCGATACGTTCCGAGGCGAGCAGTAGTCGCACAAGTCCGTCGTGGCCCTTTCGTGCTGCGATTAGGAGAGGAGGCGTGCCGTCTCCACAGCGTGTGTTGACATCGGCGCCCGCCCGTACCAGCATGGAGACGATCGCCTCGTGGCTCATTCGCGTAGCGACGCACAGCGGGGTGTCGCCGTTGGGGTCCTTCGTGTCGACGAAAGCTCCAGAGTTTATCAGTAGTCTCACGATGCCCTCGTGGCCTTGCCTCACCGCCCAAGAAAGAGGACAGAGGTGTACGCGGTCATTTACGGGGGCGTCAACATCGATACCATCGCGAGTTAGCATAAAGCCAACGACGGACGTTTGTCCCGCAGCAGCTGCCATGGCCAGTACTGTGGAGCCGTGATATAAGCGTGCGTTGACATCGACCTTGTGCGAGTCGAGGATCAATTCGATCACGGCTACGTGATCGCATCTCGCCGCGGTGAGGAACGCACGCGCCGCATCCACCTCGCATGCGTCGACGACTGCCTTGCGGGCCGTCTGCTCCCGTCCGACGGCAGCGGCCCACACGAGGGCCGAGCAGTCTTCGTCCGAATTGAAGCTGATTGGGCGCCGGCGCCGGAGGTGCCGCCGAGATCCGCGGTATCCTTCGGATGACCGGCGGTGCCTTTCGGCGTTGTGGCGGTAGAGGTATGAGTCGAGGCAATCGTACAGACGGCGGTTCACACGGGTGAAAGCGCCGATGTCACATTCGCAGTCGAGGTTGGCCGCGATTGCACATATAAGCTCACTGGGGAGCTGCATGATGCATGCACGATGCATCATGCTCAACTTGAAGGTTTCCTGTGATGAGCCGGTTGATGAGACTGCATGACCTGAGAAGTCACGGAGCTCCCTCCAGACTGCGCCCCTGAATACCGACGCAAATCGGAGATCTGGCCACTGCCATGCTCAAATAGTAAGCTTACATGTGTGTGTACGTGGAACGCCCGAGACCGAGGCCTGCAGATTGTAGCCAAATGTACACGGGCATGCATGACTCAGAAATTTTGTACCGTAAGCCTAATAATATAAACCATGTAACCGCATGCATCCGGAAATGCCTCGTTTCCAGGTGCTGCGTGACTTCTCATTCTGGGGCATCGAGATGGCCCCTCAGTTCCTGTATAAACTTGTATATGTATATGGCTTTATCCACTTTCCTTGGAATAGCAGCTATCAGACCTCGGCCCCAGACCTGTGCAATAAAAGGAATCGAAATCAGCTGGCATAGGCATCGGGTAATGGGACTGTACTATTACCCTCTATGTGCACGCGATATACGTCTTACCCCATCGCCAACTTTCCTATGGCAGACTTATCGGCAGGATCCATTGGTGGACTGTACGGAAGTGGGACGGAAGGGATCAGAAAGATCACACCAATATTCTTCGGTTCTACCAAGGAAGAGGACAATGATCAATACACATACAAGTACGCTCGTCACTGGCGCCTTGACTACTAGACCACTCATCTCACTGCTACTGAGTGTGCCTTGTTAGTATTCTTACTATCGCCTACCTCAAGTAGGCTCGTCGTCTGACACTTGTGGTCTGAACTATCATCTGTGGTTTTCAGGCTACGCATGAACTGTCCCAGTATATGGAAGTGAAAGACACTTATCAATTATTTGTAATAACAAAGCACCAAGTGATTGGTAAAAAAGTATACAAGAACGGTGTAGACCAAGGTCAGAAGAAGAAGAAGAACTCAAAACCCATTGCCGGAGAGGCTCAGATGGTTCAGCAATAGACTAAGGTCGTCATCCGACCCAGCGTAATCCAGTGACTGAATTATACGAAGTTGAGGTCAATCTCGACGGAGCCACCGACTTGGTTGCAGACGAAGTCGTCGGGGCCAGCGCCACCAGCGCGGCAATAGACAGGAACATCCTCCTGGCCAATCTTGGTGCTAAAATCATCTGTCAATATCCGTGTCACGAGTTTGGGGAGAGGGGATTATGAGGCGGAACGTACAGGGCACCCAGGCTGTGGACAACCTCAACGCTGTAGCCGGCGCCGTTGCTGTCGGAGCTTCCCCAGATAGTGGCTCTGTAGGAGATGACCTCGCCGTTGCTGTCCTCGCACTGAGCAGTCACGGGGGGGGCACCGGCAGCGTCAATCATGGTGCACGTGGTGTTGGCATAGTCGGGGTTGCTGAGGTCGAGGCTAAAGCTGTTGATGGTGGTGGTGTTGCCAGACTGGATCTTGCGGACGCTGAGGTTCTCGACGAAGGTGACGTCGGTGAGGCCACGGGCAACAGGCGTGGCAGCGGCAAGGCCGGCCAGAGCGAAGACAGCGGAGAAGAGCATGTTGAAGGTTTTGGAGAGTAGGGTAAGGTGGTGGAAGATGTGCGGTGTCGGTAGAGTTGGTAAGGAAGCTGAGGACTTGAGGATGAGAAGCTGAGGATGAGATGTTGTGAGGATGTTTGATGTTTGGGAGTTTCCTGGTCTATATATACTCCATCTCAGATGTCTTTCTCTAAATTAACTACTCGTATAGAGGTTTGAGCGTCGGCTGACCGATACGGTCCAACCTCCAAGCCAGTCTCCTCCTTGAGGATGGGGAAGATGGCTTCATCCTCCTGGGCCGAGCGTGGCCTCGTATTCAAGCTACTGTGACTGCTCGTATACCGAAACGACCGGCAGGCCCATATTTCCCTTCTGCCCCCTTCCCTGTGTTGTCGGTGAGGCCACACCCGTACGAATCGGCCCCGGTTCAAGTCACAGATTGACTCCTTTTCGAGAGGAGTAATGCGCACACGACGAGCCTGCTGAAGTGCAAGACATCGGAACGCCAACGCTACATGCTGGCTGTACATCTAGGCTGGAAGAAAGGGAGCAGAGCCCTCCACGGACACGCATGAACAGCCCAAGAGATGTAGTCGGCCGATGTCCGAAGGAGCACCACAATACTGGTCTGATCATAGCTCGGACGTTGTTATTATGCATGCCAAGCCGGGACATCGAAGTAGGTTTATGCTTCTAGAACAACCTCATTGACAACATCCACGTTACTTATACTCAGGGGTATCGAAATGATCCCCATCGCCCATGCAACCTGTACGGAGTACTCCGTGGATTTTGCTTCTCTATCTATGCTTGGAATAGCAGCTACGGATCTATTTATATACGCATCACACGTGCGTTGTACAAAGGGTCATCGGTGAGGTCAGATACACAGGCTATGTAGGCGCGCATCCGTTCCGATCGTAATGCATCGGCACGCTGGCCAGTCTAGTGGATGACAGCAAGGTGACACACTTAGACAGCTAGTGCACAAGCTATAAAGGTATTAGCATCTACTACATCGTATTCCGGGACGAAACGTTTCCGTGCAGGTTGCAGATTGTATCAAGGGCCAGAAGGCAGAAAGGGCGGGTGTCCGTCGGATTCTGCTCCATATTACCACTCTGTATTCGTACGAATCAGAGGTACCGCGAGTGGCTATGCATAGGATTGAAGAACCCTTGGCTATGGACAGTCTCAATCATTTGGAAAAGCTCAGTTGCTACTGATAATATTACTACTCATACTCGTACAAGTTGCAGTTACCTCACCAAAAAAAAAAAAAAAAAAAAAGAAGCTCCACTATCTAATATACGAGATACGAGCCGCCTGTACGAGTACAGGTAGAACATCCTTGCCTGATGAGAGGTACCATTTTTTCCAACGATGCCACAAAGAGTCTGCTCATATCGTCACGGTAGAAAGGACGGCAGCCGATTCTCCTCTGACAGCCGCTCTGTCCGATTGCCGTGCCTAGAAGTAAACGCGCATCATGTACCGGTTCGGCTTCCATTGGGGGCGGCACACGACATGCGCAACTGCCGGATCCTCGACGTCAAGACCCCACCTCACACCCGCTAGCCTGGGGGCATTGCGAAATCTCATTCGGAGAGCAAGTCAGGGTCATGATAGAGGCGACCCTTATGCCGAGAGGTCCGTGTTTCCAGCATTGACTGCCGTTCACGTACCCTAGGCAGAGCATAAGCGCCGCGGCTGCGGGTGAACAGAAAGGGCTGAGCTGCGGCCCGTCGGTGTAGGTGTTCTGGACATTTCTATGACATACCATTACGAGCAGTATTCGCAGGGCTGGCTTGAGGGTTTCTATAAATAACAGGATTGCAGTGGGGAGGGAGACATAAGTTCCGCGAGACGCCCACCACGGATGCGAATCGCAGGGGACCGACCTGAGGGGCCATCACTGTCCATACTCGTATTCACGACGATGGTTAGATGTCTAATCTAATCTGTAATCTGTACAGATTGCACAGCAGGCAAAAAGGCTCGACACGGGGACCGAGCCCTGTGTCGGACAGAGCTGTGCTCCCTCCCCTGATGTTTGCATCAGTGCTACGTCTAATCTGTAGACAACATCTGGTCAGCAGCCTCCCGTGAACACTCCGTATACATGGACGGTTGACGCATATCACAATTGACACAAAAAAAAACAAAAAAACAAAAAAAGGTCCAACGTGTCTCTTTCTTAGTCTGCTGCGGAATTGTCGAGCAGACTTGTAGAAGCAGCTGCTCATACACGTGGTGGAACGACAACTTAGCGGTAGCTGGGCTGGAACATCAACGTCCACAGGCTAATCGCGGCATAGAATCTACATCTAGGCGAGACCATACGTCTGGTAGATGGTGTTGACCAAGGTCGAGGCGATGATACGTGAGAGGCTCCGTACGTGGTTGGGGCGGGAACACGAACCGGTCACTCGGTGAGGAAGCGAAGGAGCTTGGAAGTAATTGAAGTTTTTCATGTGCATTTGTGTGGGCCCCTGTTCCCAGGTCGTATATCACGGTGGTCGGATTGTCTTCAAGGGGTTTATAAGAGTATGACCGTTTGATGAATACCTGAGCAGGGCCTCTTGTGCTTGCATAGATCTTGCATAGAGGCTTCGGAAACATTTCATGAGCACGGCTCCACGCAGGTGTAGTATGCTACCCTAGACACCCTCCCTCGACGATTGTCCCGTTGTGATGATGGCTCTTGTACCTTGTAGTGAATACTCCGTACCTGTCTGTAGATCCCAGGCCCATGCCGTGTGGCAGTCTTGGTGAGATATCTTCTGCTGGAGACGCAGGAGACAATACCATCGCAAGCTCATAGTACGGGTAAAGTGGAATAGATGAGAGAAGCGGTGTCATTGTCCAAGACTCTAGAAGTACAGGTTAGAGTGACTACTCATAGCCCTTTGTCATGGCTCAGCCCTCCTTTCACATATAATTAGACTGGCACAAGAGGCCTCGGAGAGGACGGAAAAGGTGATGTGCATTGATGATCTTGTCGATGCTATGATATGAGGGAAAAGCTAGAGCTAGGGGTGTGCGGAGGAAAAGGGTGTGGCTGTCAGACTGTATGAGAGGCGTATGACCGGCTGTGACGGCCACCTGAGCAATCAGGCCTAAAGCTTTGCTTAGTGGTGCAGCGGTTAAGTCCAACCGTGGCTGCAGTCACCTGACCAGTGGGGCTGTCAGACTGAGCGGCGGAATGATATCGGTAAAACACTTGTTGAGTTGGAGGTTCCGGATCGGCAGGAGATTTATCCGGATAATTCTTCACTGATATAATGACGTAAAAAAAAGGGTTCCCCATCAGGCTTTTTCTGAGCTTCTTATTGATGCGTGCTGTTGTTCTATGTATGAGGAAAATAGTGACTGTAGTATGTACAGGTGTTCCGTTCTATCAACCTCTTCCGGTGGCTTATCCAGCTGGTTGATCTGACAGGGGTTAACCTAGCAACACAGATCAATGATAGTAGATTTCTGGCCTCCATCTTCTTCATCGACACGGCTAACCGTTCAGGAACGCACCCCCGCCCGACTCATCAGAGGCCACGCATGCATGCACGACGGTACCCAGAATAAAAGAGTGGAAAGACGACCCCCTCCCGGACGCTCATCCTTCCTGCCTTGAAATAGCCACAGCTTCCCTCATTCAGTCACCAGACTGTCAATATCAAACTCAGACTCTCGCCGTCGAAATTCGAGCTCAGAGGTAGGATCTGACCCGTACGTCATCCCTATAGCGATGCCAATCGGCTTAGGTTCGCCACAGAGCTTCCAATCGTACTTCAGCAGGAGGTGGGAAAGGGCAATCTTGATCTCGTTGGCGCCGAAGAATCGGCCTGGGCATGAATGAGTACCGTGGCCGAACCCCATGTGCTTCCGACTCGTGCTGACCAAGTGCGCCATGCCCTCTTCTGGAGTTTGGCGCATCCTGAAGAATCGGTAGCCGTCAAACTGTTCCGGGTTGTCGTAGTGTTTCTCATCCCACATGTGCATGTTGTTGACTATGATCCTCGTGTTCTTCTTTATCTTGAACCCGTTCGAAAGTGTCACGTCTTCGGTAGGGTACCTCCTCCAGACTGTGGCAATCGTGTCAGAGGGAGCTGCAGGCCGGAAAGAGGGAGGACGGGAGACAGAGATGCCAGCGTGACTTACTTGTTGATACGGGCTTCAATCTCTGAGACTCTTTGATCACGCTGTCCATGAGCTTCAGGCTGTTCAGGGCAGCCTTCTTGAGCCCGTCGGTGCTCAGAACAGAGACGATCTCTTGGCGAAGGGGCTCGAACAGATCAGGGTGCGAGGCGATGTTGGTCATCGTCTGCTGAAGCAGGTCCGTGGTAGTGTGGATAGCCACCAGGGACAGCATGACTTGGCCGGTGGCTGCGTCCAGACGCGAGCCAGTCGCCTCCAGCCATTCGATGGCGTCGTCAAACGATACCTTCTTTCCGCGTGCCAGGGCCTCGGCCTTGATCTGTCTGCGTTTCACTATGTAGGGCTTGATGGTTTCCCGGGCTTCTTGCAGCAAGCGCCGAGAATTCTGGCAGCCCGGCAAGAACCAATGGACCCACGACCTCATCCAGGGAGGATATTCGCGGAGGATATCGCCGGTTTTGAAAGCCTCGAGCGTGTATCTCGCCGAGATGTCGGTCCACGCCTTGTTGCGGCAGAGCTCCTCGCCCATGAAGACACGGGACGACATTCTTGCGATGACGGCCATTATGGTTTCCTGGACGTTGAGGCTATGCCAGTCTGGGGGCTCGCGTCAGCTTCTGCAGGATGATGCAGCCTTCACTGTCTGGTATGCGTACCGGTTTCCTCCCCGATTACTTCATGTATGACGAGGCCAGCCTCCTGAGACAGCGGAGCTGTCACCTTTGCTATTTCCGTCGTATTAGCATCATGTAGAAAGTAGTCGTTGCGTCTCGGTGAAAGATTCGCACACGTACCGAGTGCCTTGGTCAGGTATTTGTTGACGATCTTTTGAAGAGAATCGTCGATGCCGAACGGTTCGAATCCGGGGATATAGTTATGAGCATCCTACCTCGACGTTAGCATGCCAACTATCTGTCCTCCTCCGACCTGTCTGTTCCAGATCGGGACACTTACGTTGCCGGCACCGGTGCTGAAGTCGAAGCGTTTATCACTCCTGATCTCCTCGACAAAGTCATCGGGCAGGACAAGGACGGCTCCAGTATCGCTAAAGAGCCTGTAAGGGTTCGAACCGAAGCGCCTTTTGCCCTCGGAGAAGGTCTCGAAGGTGTTCTTTATGAAGTCCCGCGCCCTTCTGGTGTCGCTAAACTCAAAGGGACGGCGCGGATTGAGCTCGGGTATCTCCCTGTAAGGATCCCGGGAAGCATATGCGTAGTATCCGACAGCAAACATGAAGCATACGCCAGAGACAAAGATGCTGGTGTTGAACTGGTCGATGATGGTGGTCTCCTTCTCCAGGAAAGGAGCGCTCTCCGTCATGTTTTCCATGACTACGTTCATCACGGAGCCGGCCATGGTGATTGGGACTAGCGAAGTTGGAAGATTTCTGAGCCGGTCTTGCCCAGAATCAGTTTCGAGGGCCACCCAGCATATATATATACGTGTGGTCTTCTAGTACATGTAGTATCCCAGAGACTTGGACGTCTCTTCATCTGGCTATACTGCATTGTATGAGTACGAGTACGAGATCTATTCTTGATGTCGGCAACGAGAAGGCTTCATCGAGCGCATGGCTCTCCGATGAGCCATGGCCCATCACTGGCCCTTTTACATCTCCAAACCCCGAAACACCGAGGATGTAGTCGCAAGTCGTCCGGGGGGAGGGGGGGGGGGCATGCATAAGTGCCGGCACATATGCCGATAGACCAATCATCGGACATCTATTGACCAGAACAGGTCCTGCAATGCCGCTAGCTGTGACGGGCGTTTCCACACAATCGGTCTCTCGGTGCTTGGGTTCCCCGGGTGCACAGTTCTCGTGGATATACAGCTTCCAAGAATACTCTTACTGAACGTATACTATTATATATTGAGCATCTCATCCACATATGTCACAGCAACGCTTGGCAGGTTTCAGTGTAGCTTTCCGATGAGAAGGACCGCCTCTACATGGATTGAAGTGTACATGGAGTGGGACCTGGACGAGGTCCAAGGCGTAGCGTAATCTTGCTTGTTACGTCGGAAGAAGAGAAGAATTGACAAGAATTTCCTTCCCGAGATCAATCGATTGTGGCAGATGATATCATGTAGGCAATCATCCAGGCCCAATCGATAGAACGACAAGCGGCAACGTATTCAAGGACATTATCCACCATCTCGAGATCGTCGGACGGTCTAGATAAATGTCCGTCATGTCCCTTGAATGATTTTCTCAACTCTATACACTCACGCTAATTGCGCTCGCGTATCTGAATATCTATAGCTCCATGGTGCCTCTCTTCGCACCATGAAACGGATATGGTGACGGGTATAGGCATAGAAGTGATGCTATCGACCCGTCCCCTGCCGCCGCTTGGCGCATGGAGCTATGGCTATAGACGGGCCTAAGACACAGTCTAGAAGACTTATCGGAGCCTCTCGAAACCAAGCAATACTACTAGTTGGCTGCACTGTGTACCAGCTACGTGCCTGTACCAGTAATACCGACTTCTACCCGTGGTCGAGATGCCCTAGTCAGGAACAGAAGCAACCTAATCTTTTCCAATATCCATCCCCTGTTCCACAAGCCAGCCTGCAGCTATACGAGTACGAATAGTGCTATGATGCAAGGAGCCCCAGTGTTGCCTACTCTTGTACTTGTGGATAAAACCCGAGTGGCTGACGGGCGTGGGTCCTACGATGCATGCAGTAGTATCATTATCCATGTCGTAGCTGAATGACCTGGGTCCTCGCTAATAATGCCTGCTATTCATATGTATCATTACTTATTACTGGTTATGTACGCAACGACAGCATACCTGGCCGTGATTAATTGCAAATAGGGTATTTCCAGACTACAGATTAATCGTCGAACGGCTTGTCACAGCCCCTCGCACACCACGCTCATGGGCAAGTGGAGTGCCACGCTCAAGGTCGTGTAAGCTTCAACACATCATGACCTACGGCTACTTATCATGAGGGTCGGAAGCGGCAAAAAAACCCCGATCGTGCTATCTTTAGGGCGCGCCAAGGTAGCAGAACCTGTGGCAATGTGGACCGACTGATCCTTGCCTCGCCTCCCGCATCTATGGCGTAATACTCCGTAGACGTGATATTCCGTAGTCAACGCCGTGACTCGAGGTACAGAGGAGCAGGTTTCCACCCCCATGCCCCGTCCGTGCTTAAACGAATACGACGCGGCGGGAAGAGTTAACAACTACCGAAGACTCACTAATGACTGGTCAGAGTAACCACATTTGCAACTTCATGCGTGCAAGAGTACGCTTACGTACATGGCATCTCGGCAAGATCCTAGGGGAAAGTAGACGTTACTAAATGTCAGGATACGGTTGGTTGTACGACGATCAACACACACATAGTTACCACAGCACACTCGTAACTGATGCTTTCACCACTCGCTTCGACTTGGCCACTATTATTACTTAGCAAGCCTCGTCTCTTATCCCGCTATATCCTATCCTAAGCAGACTCGGTGTTTTTTTCGTCTTCTTTTTTTCTCTTCTTCTTTGACATGAAGTCGGTGTCATCGCGATATATACGAGAACGAGTATCAACCATGATACTACTTCGCATATCGAAGGTACCTACAACCCCACCACATCAGCTGCACGAGCTTCGGTCTAAACGTACTCTACGAGGAGTCTTCTTTCCGCTGCAACCTGCAAAAGACCAAGCAGGGGTAGAGGTCTCCGCCGCAGTGGCGGCTGTACTGCGACTGCACAGCCGTCCGGTAGATAGCTAGTCACGTAGATGTAACAGATTCTCTGTTTCGTTTGATTCGTTCCTCCGCAGTTGCTTCGTGTCCAAACGGTACGGCTCTCTCCGCAATGTATGCGGCAACTTTTCCGCTGGAGCCAAGGCAGCGCCAAGGTTCAGGCCAATTGATCGTTTTATGTTACGTGATGCAGCCTCTGCCCGTGAGATAATATGTTCGATGTTGACAAACGAAGATATTATATTACAAGGATGCTGCCATGTGTCATACGGCTAATTCTTATCTCTGTACAGATTACAGGGCTTCTCAAGTAGATAATAATGGATCTGTCGTTATAATGTCATGATGCTGCATAAATATGTGCTAGTACGTAATGAATCAAGCCCGCGGGGGTCCGCCGTGGGCGCCGTCGGAAATCAGACCGGCTGTCTCCTCCTCGTCTTGGTCTTGCACAACTGTTCTTGTTTTTCTCCCTTACTGAAGTCGTCACAGTGGAGTAGAGCATGCACTTGAATGATGGTGTTCATGAAAGGGGAAGCAACTAGGTAAATGAGCATTGAATGGGATAAAGAGGAAGAAGAGAAAGGATTCTTAAAGGTTTACTTACCTATCGAAACGCCGAAACTGCTAGAAGTCCGATTGTGACCTTGCCGTTGAAGATCCCCGGGGCCGTGTTTGACAAGGACGACATCAAGGTGAAGATGTTGGGGAGATGACAAAGGGGCCGATCCACCAAGCGAGGGTGGTGACGTGGGAGCAGATGCGCTCGATCAACAGGATTCCAGACCCAAAGATCACTACGAGCTCGTTGGATCTGCTCCTGAAGGTTCCACCTCTTGCGCTGGGAGAGGTAGACTGACCACGACCGAGGCGCAGTAGAGTATGCCCTGGCGTTCAAAGCTTGGCGTGTCTGCGACTGCGGTTATTGGGAGAAGACCATGCTTCCGTGGATCGAGTCCTCGGAGTGGACCCCCATGACCTGCGTTGGGCTTGGGGACGTGGCCGAATCGCTGTCTTAGGACGGCATCGCCAAATGTTGCCTCAAATATACGAACCAGCTGGCAGCATCCTGCGGTGTGATGATTGTTCGAACCTGTAGTTCCTGAGCCGTGACGGGGGG